GACAGGTATAGAGGTCCCCAGCCAATGCCCTCCACAGAAATTATATGTACCAGAGTCCTTCCGTGACCAACTCATAACCTGGGCTCATTCAGCACTAACCTCTGGACATCCAGGTGAGACTCGAACTCACAATCTACTTGCACAATGTTATTGGTGGGAAACTATAGTTAAGGATATTTATACATTTGTGTCCTCATGTTCAGTCTGCTCTCAATGCAAGACACCTAAGACTTTGCCAGCAGGAAAATTAATGCCCTTACCTGTACCTAATAGACCCTGGTCCCACATAGCCGTAGACTTTGTCACAGATTTACCCGAATCACAAGGACATACCACAATTCTCACGGTGGTAGATAGATTCTCACGAGGAGTGAGATTTGTACCATTCACTGCACTCCCAAGTGCTTTTCAGACTGCTCAAGCGCTATTCCAACACGTATTTCGTATTTTCGGGATACCTGAGGATATCGTGTCTGACAGGGGGCCCCAATTCACATCCCAAGTCTGGGCAGCATTCTTTGAGCACATCGGGGTTTCCGTTAGTCTCTCATCCGGGTACCATCCGCAATCCAACGGTCAGTGTGAACGCGTAAATCAAGAACTAGGCAAATTCTTAAGACTGTTTTGTCATGAGAACCCTTCGGACTGGTACAAGTATTTAGTATGGGTGGAAATAGCCCAGAACTCTCTAACTAGTTCTGTCACAGGTATGACTCCATTCCAGTGCACACTAGGTTATCAACCACCCCTAGCTCCCTGGACAGGCGTTCAGACGGATGTGCCTTCAGTGGATGACTAGATGACCAGGAGTGAGCAGGTGTGGGAGGGGACACACCAGCGCATCGAGACTGCACTACAACGTCACAAGGAACAAGCCGACAGACATCGAGGTCCAACCCCTGAATATCAGCCTGGAGACCGAGTGTGGCTGGCTACTAAGGATTTTCGCATCAATGAGGGAAGTTGTAGAAAACTCCAGCCCAAGTATATTGGGACATTTAAGATAGTCAAGAGAATAAATGATGTTACATACAGACTAGAATTACCCCCACGTTTTCGTGTATCGCGCTCATTCCATGTCTCTCTCCTTAAACCCGTTATTACAGGACCTCTGGACGAGGCCACACCAGACGTTCCTCACACCCCACCGGTGGAGATAGATGGGGCACCAGTATATGCTGTTCGTCGGTTGCTGGACTCCAGAAGACGCAGTGGGCTTCTGCAATACCTGGTGGATTGGGAGGGATATGACCCAGAGGAGCAATGTTGGGTGTCGGCTCAAGATGTGCTGGATCCAGCGCTTGTAGCAGACTTTCACAGTCGACACCCGGAGAAGCCTGCTCCTCGCCCCAGGGGTCGGCCATGTAAGAGGCTGACCAGTTCCCTACCAGTCCGACTGCAAGGGTCCCAGGAGGAGGGTTCCTTGGTCCAGCGCCGCGAAGATTCTGGTTCAGCCCCTGTTCGCAGATCCGGTGGTGGTCGTAGAGGTCGTCCTGGTCGTCCTCGTACCGAGGCCCACCCGGACTCTTTGGGGGGAGGTACTGTCACGCATGTAACGAACACTCAGGGAGAATCGGACTCCATTTCCCAGAATACTCTGGGAGATCACGTGACTTCGGACAATGTCTCACGCACCTGTCAACGATCAAAGTCTCCTGAGTATTGACCTGTTTCACCTGTGCTGTATCATGTGATCTGTTAGCTTAGTATTTAAGCCCGGGCTGTAGGTAGAATCAGTGCGAGGTATTGTTTCCCAGCAAACTTACTGAGCGTTTATTCTATATGTGTGTTTCTGATTATCCGACCTTTGCTTCGTCCTTTGATTTGCCTCTTTGCCTGCCCCCTTTGTACCGTTGCCCTGTCTTTTTGATCTGTGTTTTTGGAACTTGCTTGCTTGTTTTTTCGACCACATCTTTTGCCTTGTCCCTTTGGTTCTGTTCGCCTGGTGTTATGATCAGGTGCTGGAATGTAACTGCTGCAGTATTTAAGATAGAACAGAAAATCTGAATGAGAAGCAAATCTCAGCTTTGTGGGGAGGTATAGATTGATAGTAGCACTACCAGTCAACAAGCTTCAATTGGTTTTATGAATTGATGTTATTGTTCTATTGAAAATAACTAGGATTGATATATAATTACTTACCATCAGGTCAGTAAGTCCTGCACCATAGGTGGCCATTATGATTTCTGAGCAGGCTGACTAAACAATGACAGATAACCTGAACCCCATCATGTGACCTACATACTAATACCAGACAAGACTTTTGATAAATGCTAACTTTATTGGGAGAAAACCTTCAATCATGTCCCCCACAGGATGTTAAAAATTTTGTATCTTCTGGTGCATGTTGCCTGTTTTATAGTTAAACAGGTCGATTATTTAGACAGTACAGGGCTGACGAGCACTAAGAAAAGCATGTTCTGATGTTGAACTCCTTTGGTCTTTGGTTCAGACCATCATAAAAATGCGCACCCAGAAGTGAACTGAATCACAGAGATCGATTTTTTGCGGACTATAGTTAATTTGTTTGGTGCGGACCTGAAGTACAGGTGGAGTGCTCACCAGTCAAACTAAAGAAAAAGTTTGATTGGTCTGCACAAAGTAAAGTAGGCCTAGTGGTAAAATGCAAGTGAAAGAAAACCTTGTGTGTCCTTGAATACTGAATTAGGGCACCGAGTGAAGTAGGTGTGGACATGTTGAACTTTTTCATTGGTTCAGTCAGTTTTGACAGGTGTGCAACAAATGAACAGTGGTCCAGTTCACTTCCAAATGAACCCTGCTTCAGTTCACTGCAGTGTATGTATTGCATCATCGACCTATTTGGTTACGTGTCAAATGAACAAATGAACAAACCAATCATAAAGAAGCCGATATCATGTAAGGTTTATTATTACTGCTTTGATTGTGATGCACATAGACTTTAGGTATGAAGTTAATTTTGTGCCAAAAGTTTCAAATAAAATAATACATCCACAAGCAAAATATTATGTATCAAAATGTCCACAATATGTTGCAGATATAAATAACAAAACTTAAATTCATTTTTTTTTAATTACTGCTCATTTTGACTCATTCAAATGAATTTATTTATTTTTGCCAGTCTTTGCTTTAATTTTTTATTTGCTTATTGTGCTGATATATTTTTTGCTTGTGGACTCGCTCTTTTGCTTCTATGTTTTTCTTACTTTTGAATTTTGATATTTTTTAACAGGGAGAAGCTCTTAGAAGAGGATGTTCACCTGCACTCTCTATTGGTCAACTGAGTGACAGGTCTTCTGAACATGTTGCCACGCCATCAGTGTTTATTAGCCCTGCTTCTTGCGACCTACCGCTCCAAATAGTCTCAACTATTCCTTACCTTAAAACACCTGCTTGAGTTCATCAACTGATCAGGAGCCCTGATCAAGCCCTACATGAGCCAAACAGGTGCGCTAGGTCATGGAAGTCTGCGTTGCTGTGGGTCAAGAGAAATAAAGTAGCACTGGCATAAACACAGTGAAGAATGGAGAAAACCACTGATAACTGCCAGCTATGAGTTATTGCTGCTGTGAGATAGCTGATAGACGGTAGTGTTTAATTACTACAAAAGGGAAATAAGTCGATATGCCATGGTTGGCCGTTGTGTTCTGAGGGTTATAAAGGCTGCTCAGTCAGTCTTTTTTTGTTTCTACCCAACAAAGTGCCCTGTGTCAATCAATGAAACAGGCTTTCCCTGATCAGAGTGCTGCTGCTCCAAATCACTGTCTTCATATTAATGCTGTAAACTAACTTTAGATACACTATATTGCCAAAAGTATTCACTCACCCATCCAAATCATTGAATTCAGGTGTTCCAATCACTTCCATGGCCACAGGTATATAAAACCAAGCACCTAGGCATGCAGACTGCATCAACAAACATTTGTGAAAGAATGGGTCATTCTCAGGAGCTCAGTGAATTCCAGCGTGGTACTGTGATAGGATGCCACCTTTACAACAAGTCCAGTCATGAAAAATTATAACAAAGTGGAAGCCATTGGGAACGACAGCAACTCAGCCACGAAGTAGTAGACCACGTAAAATGACAGAGCGGGGTCAACGGATGCTGAGGCGCATAGTGCGCAGAGGTCGCCAACTTTCTGCAGAGTCAATCGCTACAGACCTCCAAACTTCATATGGCCTTCAGATTAGCTCAAGAACAGTGCATAGAGAGCTTCATGGATTGGGTTTCCATGGCCGAGCAGCTGCATCCAAGCCTTACATCACCAAGCGCAATGCAAATCATCAAATGCAGTGGTGTAAAGCACGCCGCCACTGGACTCTAGAGCAGTAGAGACGTGTTCTCTGGAGTGACAAATCACGCTTCTCCGTCTGGCAATCCGGTGAACGAGTCTGGGTTTGGCAGTTGCCAGGAGAACTTGTCTGATTGCCGGTACTTGTCTGATTGCATTGTGTCAAGTGTAAAGTTTGGTGGAGGGGGGATTATGGTGTGGGGGTGTTTTTCAGGAGTTTGGGCTCGGCCCCTTAGTTCCGGTGAAAGGAACTCTTAATGCTTCAGCAGACCAAGAGATTTTGGACAATTTCATGCTCCCAACTTAGTGGGAACAGTTTGGGGATGGCCCCTTCCTGTTCCAGCATGACTGCGCACCAGTGCACAAAGCAAGGTCCATAAAGACATGGATGAGCGAGTTTGGTGTGAAAGAACTTGACTGGCCTGCACAGAGTCCTGAGCTCAACCTGATAGAACACCTTTGGGATGAATTAGAGCGGAGACTGCGAGCCAGGCCTTCTTGTCCAACATCAGTGTCTGACCTCACAAATGCACTTCTGGAGGAATGGTCAAAAATTCCCATAAACACACTCCTAAACCTTGTGGAAAGCCTTCCCAGAAGAGTTGAAGCTGTTATAGCTGCAAAGCCCATATTAAACCCTATGGATTAAGAATGGGATTTCACTCAAGTTCAAATGCATGTGAAGGCAGATGAGCAAATACTTTTGGCAATATAGTGTATTTAAGCAGTTTAGTTTCATTACCAGTATGGCAAGTCTAGTTAGCCCTTTAGTGAGCACTGCCAGGCTAGCTAGTGCTAGCATCTGCAAACTGACAAACATTGTTTATTCATAAACAACTAAGTTTAAATTCTTCAAGCCCAAAATAACAGTTATATAATTTTACAAAGGTCAACACAGGCCCCATAAACCTGTGTTACATTAATAGCTTAAAAGGGATATGACATACAGTGTTCATAACATTCAAAATGGCAGTACAATGCTGGACCTAAACAGAGACATTATAAATGAGTCCCATAAGCACTTTGACCTGAAGCAGCATTCAGTACAACGTGTTCCACCATGCTGAGGTTTATGCTGAATGGCAACGTGTTCAGAAGACCTGTCACTCCAAATCGGTTGACCAATAGAAAGTGCAGGTGATCGCCCTCCTCCAAGACCCACTCCTTCTAAAAAGGGTGAAAAGTCAGAACCAATAGAAAAATTTCAGAAGCAAAATAAATGTTTCAGCAAAATCAGCAAATAGAAACAAATTAAGCAAAAGTGACACAATGAGTAATACATTTATATCAGAATGGGTGAAATGAGTAGAAATCTTTTTAAAAAAATAAGTCTGATTTAACTTTCACTATTTGTATTTGCAACAAATGTGGACATTTTAATACTCCATATTTTGCTTGTGCATTTTATAATTTTATTTGAAACTTTTGGTACAAAATTAACTCCATAGTTAAACATCTCATTTTTATGCAAAGTATTGGAGCTCAAATGTTGGGCAGTAACAGAGCACTTGTGTCCCTGCAAACATCCTTATTCATACGAATAAACAAACACCGGTGTGTAATTTGGTGCACTTCAGTCACTGCCGTGTGAAACCAACCAAACCAAATCAAAAAGAATAATAAAAAAAACTTAATTTCAGACTTTAGCAAATGAACTAGGTGTGAAAAGAGACTTGATATTCAATCTTATTCGCACTGAATTGAGCGTGTAGCTAGACTATGGGTCAGGGACTGTTACCACCAACCCCAGCCCCTCTCTAACCCCCGGTGTTCACATATTGTCACTGCAACAGCACTGTGAAAAAGTCCTATGCAACATTGGTGCAGCATTCAAGAGATCTCTCACGAGAACTGCGTAAGGCTTTTACAGCCCCACGTCACACACCAACAACTATGGGTCTGCAGCCAACTATCACAATGATTAAATATGCTCTCTGCTATAAGACACAGCTAGCTCTGTGTTCCCAGCATGGACATCATGGCAAGGGCTGCAAAAGGACTGAAGAAGACGTTGTCAGAGGAAGCAAGGGAGAGAAAAAGAGAGATTGACTGGGCAAAAGACCAGACAAGTGTAAATCTCAGACAGCTGGCTTACATGTCTTGTGTTGTGGCGCTTGCTTGATGTTTTGCTGAGCAAGCTACGTTAGCCCATTTTGACAGAGGGTTAACCGCTAACAAGACATCTCAATGTGATGTTAGCAAACTTGCTAGAAAAACTTTCACTTCTGATCTTTTCCTGTTCTTTATCCATCAGCTTGTCAACAAATGCACATGTAAAGCTGTCCATGAAGAGGGCTCAAAGCGCATTTTATGTTTATAACTGGTTTAAAAGTGAATTACACTCCACAATTGTAGGGGGACCCCAGTAGCAAAAAATACCAATTCTTGCATAAAGCTGCTTTAAGCCATACACCAGCTGCGAACAAAGGAGGTGGTAGTGAACAACTATCAAATAAATAACTGCCACTCTAATAAAAAAAAAAAGAATTCTTACACTGAAGAACCGTTCTGTACACCTGAGCGTAGCCAGCCTCATGGTTCCTGTTCAGGTCCACAGTGTAGAAGAATCGCAGTTCGTGTGGAATCTCTGAAATGTGCATGTCCAAGACAGCAGGGATGATCCTCTGAGACATAAGCCCTTCACAGATGACCTGATGCATCTGGTACAAGCACCAGTCATCCTGCAGGAAGTTTGGACTGATTAGCAGCACCCAGCAGTGGCTGGACTGGACAGCCTTACAAAGTTCAGTGGAAACAGCACCACCCAGTGGACAGTCACGTGTTTGCAAGTAACAGCGAAGCCCCCTGGAAGGAGACTCCAGGAAAGAGACCAAAGCGTGTGCCTGGGAAATGTTTTTTTCACTGTGGCACACACACACATCATATCTGCAGGTCAAACGAAATGGAGCCTTGAGAGCAGGAGGGAATGGCTTCGCTGAACCCTGAGAGGAACATGTACAATAGGAGAGGGAATGCACACTCAGTGCAGTGGAGTTGCAGTCTGTATGTGTAACAGCGTCATAGGATGAATTTACACTGGATGATTTCACACCGGAAGAGGACTCATTGTTCTGGACGTGTTTTCCTCTGTGATCTGAAATAGACTCATTTTTCGGTTTTGTAAAGTACTGATGAAACCAGCCTAAATGTGAGAAGAAAAGTAAACACATAGTAAGCAAATACATAGGATACATAGATGAATAAGATGAATTTTAGACTATGACATCACACAGAAAACTGACACACTAACTCAAGAATGCTACCACATGCACACAGCGTTCAGTGCTGCTATGTTGCTATGAGTGTTGCTATGTATATAAGGAGAGTACACTCAGTGGCCTCTTTATTAGGTACAAAACATCCAGTATTTGGCCAAATGTATGTGGACACTCGTCCTAATGATTGAGTTCAGGTGTTTCAGCTACACCCATTGCTAAGTGGTGTAAAAAAAAAAAATCGAACATCAGCAGCTCAGCCACAAAGCAGCAGACTACGCAAACTCACAGAGCAGGGCTGCTGAGTGCTGAAGCATGTAGCGCATATCCCTATCACCTACCCTCTGTTGCATCACGCATTACAGTGTTTGAATTTGCCTCTGGAAGTTACATCCAATTGTGTGTCGGAAGTTAATAAAATGGATTTCCATGGCCAAGCAGCTGCAGACAAGCCAAAGTTCACTATGTGCAATGGCAAACATTGGCTGGAGTGGTGTAAACATACTTCCACTGGATTCTGGAGCAGTGGAAATGTGTTCTGCGAAGTGATGAATCACACTTCACTAACTGGCAGACTGACTTATGAATCTGGGTTTGGCAGATGCCAGGAAAACTCTACCTGCTAGAATGCATAGTGCCTACAGTAAAGTTTGGTGGAGGAGGCATAATAGTCTGGGGCTGTTTTTCATTGTTTTTTTTTCACTAGTGCTTGTTTGACTGAATGGGCACAAATACACATACACACTCCAAAATCTCATGGAAGGACTGGAGGCTGTTAGAGCCACAAAAAAGTGGGGGAACACCTCCATATTAATGCTCATGATCTTGGAATGGGATATCCAATAAACTCATATAGGTGTGATGGTCAGGTGTCTACATGCACTTGGCCAAAACAAGCAGGGAATAAAGTTGATGGTCTAAAATACAGTATCAGTTGATATCTGTGTAGTAAAGTGCATCAAATTTCACACATGTTAATGTCTGAAATGTACTACATTTCTCAAATAGATTGAATGGGTAAAAATATTTAAGAACATTAATATTGATATTTTTTTATATCCATGTCACATGTGTAATAAAGACGAATCTATAAATTGCATAGTATGTAATAGAACAATAACTTACCAAAAATCCTACTACCATTTTTTGTCTCCATCCTCCCCAGTTCTTTCCTCTGTAAAGAACAATTGTGGCTTGTATTAGCATTGACTTCACATCAGATCTATCAGGAGATCTAGGAGATTCTAGCACTAATCTTTGCTTGGAAACTCATTAGTTCAACTGATAAACAGTCTTTGGACAAAATGTGAGTTTGAAAGGAATATCTATACTAAGTTGATGTTTTTTCTCTGCATTTCCTATATTTTCTCTGCAATACCTATCCATCGCCTTAACTACTCAACACAAACAGACTGATTTATTATTCGTTTTCAGTTAAAAAAAAAAAAAATCACCTAAAAGTACTCCCAGAGTGTTACATAGAGGATGTGTTCATGTTTTCTCGTTAGATAAGATGTCTCTGATCTCCCTACATCCATTCCAACAATTTTTGCCATACTTGATTAGTTTGCCTTTATATCAGGCTATAAATTGAATTTTAATAAAAGAGACCAATATCCCTTATTGCACTGGCGAGTTCTCTTATTAAAATCTCTTTGCTTGTTTTCGTTAAAAAATATTTTGAGAATATGGCATAAATTCCAATGATATTTTGGGTTGCAAGCATTCCCTACCATGGCCCCAGTCCTCCCCAGGTTTTTGTTTATTTGTTTCAATGCAAACCAATCTTTCTGCCCCAGAATCATTCTGCCCTTTTTCATAAGCTTGATTTTTTAATTTTGAAATTCATGTGGGATAAAAAAAACTCCAAGAATACATAGACAGCTTTTACAAAGACCAATACGATACAAAATTGGTTGCAACACAACCCCCATTCAACATCCCCTGCTTGGCTTTGGCTTCTAGACCAATATCCCTTATTGCACTGGCGAGTTCTCTTATTAAAATCTCTTTGCTTGTTTTCGTTAAAAAATATTTTGAGAATATGGAATAAATTCCAATGATATTTTGGGCTGCAAGCATTCCCTACCATGGCCCCAGTAGTAGCAAATCTTATATGTCCTTCTTCCCTGGCAGATGGTGCATTTACTGTTTGGTACAATTTGGGTAGACATTTAAAGATTTATATATTGAAAATACATTTGCATCCTTTTAACAGCTAGTTGCTAAATTCTCTCTCTCCCTTAGAACCATTTCTTCAGATATTTACAAATTTGCAGTTTTTTCACAGTTTCCTAATTTACCCACTGACAATCCTTTGGACATATTCTAAATACAATTAATTTCTACAAAGGGTTTAATTTTGTCTCTTTATTAACAGGTCCATTCTTTACGATTAGTTTCTCTTCAGACTATTACATTTCTTTGGCAAGCACTGCTAGGAGAGGACATTCCAAATTACTCTGGGATGGTGCACTTGAGAAGGTCCATCAATCTTCTATTTGTACAAAGCATGGTCTCATGCAATGTAAAATAATACATCGATTTCATTTTACTAAAGTCAGACTCCAATATCTACAACAATATAGATTCTACATATGATAGATGTCACCAAGCTCCAGCAACCCATTGCATACATCTTGGTCCTGCCCCTCTTTCTATTCATACCGGACAGAAATATTCAAATTGTTAGGAGATATAATAGGAAAACCCATTATGCCAAATGCCATGATTGTCTTGTTTGGTGTGATTCCCCTATTAGTATTCCTGTCATCTTTGGAAGCTTCAAATAAATAAATAAACAAAAATTAAAAAATGAGACAAACAGTCTTCCAGTATAAGTAATACACAGATCATGCCCAAATGTGCAGACATTCAATAAGATGTCAATATCAACCATGGAAGCGAGTTGAGTTGAAGTCCCCTCATCAATTTTATATGTTTGCAGTCCTGTGGCCTCACAGATCAGACATGATGATGTTAATCACTTGACTAAATTCAGTAAAGATTGCGGATCCAAAGTCTGTGAGACTGGAGGCCACAGGTCTGGATATTTGGATTGGACATGGTCAATTAGTTAAAGTTGTGCAAAGATTCTTGCTCAACTTTGGGTTGTTTTGCTTGCTATCTTGCTGATGAATGCCCAACTAGCCATGATCGTGATGGAATGGGATGGCTCTAAAGTAAGCTATAATAGCCACAGCTAAGATTGCCATGAACTAGGTTAAAATATATCACTAACTTTATGACCAGTAATGCCACAATCACCTCAATCACCTCATTGCATTCCTAGCTCATTTTTATACCTTAGCACTTTAATACAAGTCTGATGTCAATATTGTTTTTAATAAATAATAAGTTTTTGCTCTTGCTGCATTCTAGAAGTAAATGGTACTTGGATCCAAATATTTCATATTTTGACTCATCATTCCATAGTTTTTGTGGCCCAGGTAAGTCTCTTTCTTCAAGCTAGTAAACTAGGGAACCTCAAACTTTTATCATTTTTAAAACTTTTAAACCCAATTAAATGAAACCCCATCTTTGGGTGACCACTTAAATTGACAAGTTTTCCATTTGCACATAAATTGAAAGTTTTTATGCAATTCACTTTTTATTATTTCATTACAGAAGAGAAGTTTACCCAAATTGAAGCATGGAAACCCTTGGTTTCAACTATTCGACTTGCACTGTTTCTAAAAGTCTCAAATTATGGCTAGGGAAAAATATTAACACCAAAACACTCTTAAGAAGTGAGTTTTTACTCGTGCCATTTTACTCGTGCCCGCGCATGACTGCACATGTTAAACGTATCAGTTGAAGACTCCATTTACACAACATCACACTAAAACAACCACAACACGACACGCAACATATGACATATGACCTGACATTACATGATACACAAATACAAAATGAGTAAACGACAACAACTATGAAACTCAACACAGTTGCTGAGTACTTACACTTGCAGATTGCAGTGATATGAAATCAAGGAAGAGACTGAAATATTTCACGGAAACCTAAATATAAAAGCAGAAGTGACGTTACAGTATCATGACTTCTCCTTTCTATTTGTCAGTTCTCTTCTATAGACACATGGGAAACCAACTCACTAATATATTAAACATTTATTTGCTCATTTAAAGACGCAGTCAGAATGTTTCACAGTTGTCAAAGAATAGTCATGGCTAACCAGATCTATTCTTGGAAGTGAGAGCCCAGAATGAAAAACATAAATTAAAAACATGTAGTCACAGCAACTTAACATTCAACAAATGGAATTTCCCCATTCTTTCCATGACAACACAGGCCTGGTGAGTGTTGCACAAACATGTTGACTTGTGCATTACAGGGGTCGTTTTCTGTTTAAACTGAATGGTTAATGTTAAGGAAAGCAAATAATTAAATTAAGACATTGCCAGCAACCACTTCTACTACAACACTGCTTTAAAAAAACAGAACAGCTTCCAAGTTATGAAGGACAGGTTTAAAGTAACTCCTATAGAAATGTTCCATTAGCACATGCATGCCCTTGAGATGTGATGGTTTGCATGATTTGCACTGTCCTTGTTCACTAAAACCTTGCAGCTTTTATAAAATTAAATCTTAAAATGAAAAGATGCTTTACATAAAAGGAAAATGTATGTATGTTGTATAAATGTATTCTGTTTGGATTCTTTCCTTTATATTAATGAAGAAGTATTATATATTTTCAAGTCCAATGTATGTGTAGGGTAAATTGTTGACATAATGCAAATGTACACTCTATGTACGTGGGATGTGTCATTGCATAATAATATGATTTCATTTTAAACGAGCTTGGGCCCAGAGAAGGTGGCAGCGTTTCTGGATAACGTGTATATACGGTTTCTTCTTTGCATTTTAGACTTTTAACTACAACAAACTTTCATAGACCTTCATTTCCACTATAGAATCATATCTGTTTTTAATGCAGTGCCACTAGAGGGCTCAAAGATCATGGCAAGCAAATACTGGTTCTTGTCCCTTGCATCTTTTAATGTTATTATGTACTATAGATGATGAAAATCAGAAGTTCTTTGCCATTTTACATTGAGAAGTGTTATTCTTGAATTGTTGCACTATTTGCTCACACAGTCTTTCACAGAGTGATGAATTCCTCCTCATCTTTACTTCTAAAAGACTCGCGTCTCTGGGATGCTCTTTTTATACCCAGTCGTGTTACTGACCTGTTGCCAATTAACCCCTAGATGTTTTTTAAGCTTTACACAACTTTACCAGCCTTTTTTGCTCCCGTCCCAACTTTTTTGGAACGTGTTTTTGGCATCAAATTCAAAATGGGCATATATTTCTCAGTTTTAACATTTGATATGTCGTCGTTGTACTATTTTCAATGAAATATACGCTTTACCTGATTGCATTTAATTTTTATTTACATTTTGCACAGCGTCCCAACTTTTTTGGAAATGGGGTAGTATATATATAACAATATATATACCCCATTTCCATATGTGTATATATATATATATATATATATATACAAATTATACCTACAAATTAATTATATAATATTCTTTAATCTTATTTTTATTATGACTAAAGCAAAACTATACATTATCCATGCAGAGATTCAGGGTCAGTACAATCCATGATAAATCTATATACATCCTTTCAGAACTTTTTTGCGTAGATGCAGTGCTTGAACAAGTGTAGAAGAGTTTCTGGGTTACAGAAAGAACAGCTGACATCCTTTCCTTTATTTTATTGGTTGTCAGATATTTTGAAGATTAATGTCTATATATTTTTCCAATCAAGATTTTTCACAACACAATTCCCTTATGTAACTGCATAAGGATTAGAAATGATATCTTTCTGAAACAGCCTATAAATATCCCTATGAAACCCACGCAAACTCAGGGAGAACGTGCAAACTCCACACAGAAAGGACCTAATATATTAAACAGTCAAACCCAGGCCCTTCTTGCTGTGAGGCGACAGCACTACCCGCGGTGCCACCGTGCAGCCCCATTTACTTTACTACTTTGTTAAACTTTCTAACACAAATCTACTAATACATACTGTTAATACAATCTACTAATACATACTGAGTTGACTAACACAAATCTACTAGTACATACTGTTAATACAATCTACTAATACATACTGAGTCTACTAACACAAATCTACTAATACATACTGTTAATACAATCTACTAATACATACTGAGTCTTGTGCCCAAGAAGCTTCCCAGCATTCTTAGTGGTTTTGTTAATTTCTATTAACTACCTCTCAGTCTGTCTCATCACCTAAGCTGCTTATACTCCTGGGTTGGGGGGGTGCTGGAGCCTATCCCAGCGCTCATTTGGGAGAAGGCAAGAAACACCCTGGACAGGTTGCCAGTCCATCAAAGGGCATTAATTAACTCTTAATATTCTTATTTACAAGTATAATTCTCTTTACAAAATGTTATTCTTGTATTATACTATACTCTCATGTTAAATGTGAAGTTTGAATGCACTGTACATGTAAATGAAACTTCTGATTCACTTCATGACCGTAAATGGTTCCAGCACATCTGCTAAAATAGCTGATAGATGAGAATAGCAGGTTCTTATGTCAGAGTGTCTTGCTCAAGCAACATAACACAAGCCTCACAGAGACACAAAAGCCAAAGAACTATTATTTCTAGGTGTTAGGAATATATTCTTAAGCAAAATTAAAAAGATTCAAATTTGATTATTGGAAGTCTATCTGTATCCCTTTAATCATTTCATCACAACTCAGTGGTTGGAATTGGCCACTGAATAGAGGCTAAACTTGCAGACAGAGCAGTGGGGTGTTAATCTCTAATCTTACAGTTCTCTTATTGCAAAAAAAAAGCAAAACGTTTACTGAAATGCCTTCTCTTTTCCCCTCTGTGCTTATTTGTCTTATGTGTGAATTACAGTTGATTTCAGTCTGAGCTGTGTCCTACCTCAAAAACGCTTTAAATCAACTTACCCATTCTACTTTTTACAGTGTTGTTTACATAAGCCAAAGAAAATAATCACAATGCAAAAAAACTACAGAGCAAATAACTTTTACTATTCATAGATTTACATAAAGTAGTGGATTTTAAATGTAATGTAAAAATGTAATCACTATATTTTAGAAAATTGTAAGTTCACTACTGTGTAAATAGATACTTTGGTTCAACTTTTGAGAGATTGAGACAACACAGTGTAGTGTTGAGTCTACAGTGAGACACTACGTGTGATCTTGCACATCTGGTCACTACTCCACACCTAGTCACTTTACTTCAGTACCAATATATGGACATATTTATTCAGTATTGCTGTTACCTGTGCCTCCTTGTACATTCATTATTGCACTGCCTTTTTTTTTATCTCAGGATAGATTTTATTGCATGTTTTTGTATATTTCTACTTGTATATATGTCTGTAGATAGGTTTTTTGTATATATTCTTCTTTTTATATTGCATCACCCTTATTATTATAACTGTCCTGTGTTGTGTGCCAGTAGAAGCTAAATTTCCTCCGGGATCAACAAAGTATCTATGTATCTATGTATCTATCTATTCATCTATCTATCTATCTATCTATCTATGTATCTATCTATCTATATGAACTAGAGATTATCATGAACACAGACAGAGATCCTTCTTCATATATATAAAGAATAATACAAGCATATATGAACACAGTGAAGTCATTTATTAAGAAATTTTCTAGGCTGTCAGACCACTTTTTTTTTGTTTTTAGAAGACGTTAAATATATAACAATAGAAATTATGACATTTCATACTGATTCTTCTGTAGCCTACCTTTTTCAATTCTTGGAAATCAGAAAAATAATCAATATAATTTAGCACGTTTTTTGTGCATTATTGAGCAAAACGCCACTAAGTATTTAAGACATTTTTTGTCAGATTTTATCAGTAATTTCAAACATGTTTTTGAAACGGCATCTTTACCTTAAGTTTCAAGTATTTTGATCTCTCCCCATTCAAAGAGAAACACATGAAATTTAGGATTTGTAAAACAAAGCCAAATCATTTTGGACTGCTAACCAACTGGGAGTTTTTCTGCATTTATGTATGTTCAGTACTTTGATAATAACGTTTGTGCATAAGATTGTGCATGTATAAGTGTATGGGCGAACAGTGGTTCATTTCCTGTCCTGCGTCAGCCGCTACGTGGTGTATTATGCAGTGTATTTGGTTTTGAACGCACCCCTTCTGTGACGTTCTGAATCGTACAAATGATTAACAATTAAGCCATCAGTGCTAGAAAAAATGTAAGCGAAATAAGAAAAAACGTATGGGGTATCATATATAAATGACGACTAAGAGGTAGAAATCTATAGACTTTGCAATATTTAAGGCTTTACAGTTCACAATTAGTTTTCTTGAGTCATGTCAGTGAATGTATATAACGAACCATTTCTATTTTAAACTGTAAACAATAGGTTTAGTTTTTACTTATTTGTATTTATGAATATGAAATTTTCGCCTTTCTCTGATACGGTAGTGGCTTCGCAGGAAGAGCAGGAAGAGAACGTCATTTCCTGGTTTTGCTACTGACGTGTATAACGTAGAGTTGTGGCAGCTGCTGCCGCTGGTAGTGGTTTGAATAGACCTATAAAGTTTAGGGCACGTTTATTTTGTACTACTTTTTGCCATTTTTAGTGTTTGCTTCGCTTTTGAAAGTATTAAGCTAAGTCTGGGATTGGGAGATGTTGGACTTCTTCGCCATCTTTAGTAAGGGGGGCATAGTGTTGTGGTGTTTTCAGGGCGCTGGGGTTTCTGAGTCTTTCGCAGGCCCTGTGAACGCTCTCATCCGCTCAGTAATTCTTCAGGTAAGAAAGACCGTCACATGCGATTAAAGTGGATAAATGATGTCATTGTTATCTGGTAAATAAGTACTGCTTCCCTCATCTCTTTGTCATAGCTAGCATATTAGACAAGCGTGTCTTTTAAATAGAATTTCTTCAATTAGCTGATCAATGAACAGAAGGCTCTGCA